GGGGGGGGGCGTGCACGCAGAGGGGGCGGGCCGACCGGCCACCACCGCTCTCCGCCCTCCGTCCAGAGCCCGCCCCCGGGTAGGTGGCCCCCAAGACTCCCAAGGCCCTGGTCTCCCTCCCCGGCGACCACAAGCCTCGCTGTCACTCACCCTCTGGTCGCGGATGACTCAGAGCTCGCACCCGTCACAGCTGCTTGGCCGATAAGGAGGCGCCAGCAGAGGCTGCGTGGCTCGGGTGGGGGCGTGGCGCCGGTGTCAGGTTGCTTAGAAAGGCGGGGCCAGAGAGTGGAAACCACCCTTGCGGGCGCCCGGAAGCCCCGCCCCCAACATGGCGGCACCCAGAAGTCTCGTTGGAAGCCGTCCCTCCACCGTCATGTGACGCGAGCCCTCGCCTCACCCGTCTGCAGCCACTCCCAGTCTCCGTCCCAAGCTCGAGAGGACCACGTGACACTCCCGAGGCCAGTCACGTGAGGCGCGGATCCTGGGTGGGAGGGGGTTGGCGGAGGGGTCCAGAGTGGCAGTAAAGGAGGAAGATGGCGGGGTGCAGGGGGTCCCTGTGCTGCTGCTGCAGGTGGTGCTGCTGCTGCGGTGAGCGTGAGACCCGCACCCCAGAGGAGCTGGTAAGAAGCGGGTGGAGCCGGGCAGGGGAGGGGGCGGTTGCTAAGGGACGGCGAGAGGCGTTGCCGGGGGTGGGGCCGGGCCGAGCTGGGCCCGCAGGTAGCAGCGGGTGGGGCCTGGGGACCGCAGCCTGGGCTCTCGAAGCATCTGCCCGGCTTCACGTGCCCAAGTCTTGGGTCATTTCTCAGAAGCCATCCCTGGAATCTGAGGGAGAACCCAGGCCAGCTTCAGTTAATCCCATCCTTATTTTTTTTTATTTCCATCTGAATGGAGTTTTGAATGAAACGAGCGTTTTCGGAGTGAGCCCCCTCTCTGGACTTTGTGCATGTCATGCAGCTGGCTTAGTTTTTCCAGCCCTTTCTCACTCTATCCCTCACCCTTTCTGGGTCACTGATAATCCAGCGTCCCTCTGCAAAGCACCCTGGGAAAACTTGAGTTGTTGTGTCCCCAGAGTTGACAAGTCCCTCCTGATTTCAGACTCAGCATGTTATCAGACGGAACCTGAACTCTTTCCAAGTGACATCTTTGAAGTGTCCTGAAGATGAGAGGTTATTTGGAGAATGTATAAGTAGAAATGAAGCGCTCACCTGATGACTGTAGATCCCCACCACATCACCCCCATCCCAAAAGGTTTTTTTTTTTTTTTTTTAGGTCTTGTTCCCATTTGATGATAATGGCTCCAGGTGATTTAGAAACTAGTAGCTGGTTTCAGTAAATACTTCTGCCTCTTTCCACTTTTAAAACCATTAAAAAGGTCTTCCTTCTCTGGATCTGTTTTTCTAGACCATCCTTGGAGAAACACAGGAGGAGGAGGATGAGATCCTTCCAAGGAAAGACTATGAGGTAAGATTCTTAGATGCTGTGTCTTGGGTAACATAAGTAGTGAGTGACCTCACTTCAGAGTGAAACATTGGGATTCCAACCAGAGATGCTCTTTGACCTTCTCTCCCGGGGAGTGAGTGGGTAAGATGTAACTTCTTTGTGGGAAGGGGCCTGTTTAAGAAGTGCTTTTTTCACCTCAGCCCCAAAGCAGGGTCTGGGTGTGTCTCCAGGCTCTCATAGATCTGTGGCACCTTAACCTGGATAGAGCATGTGTTTGCCATTAGACTGCATTTTTACAACTTGTAGAGACCCAGAGTCAAAGCCACTGACAGTGTTTGCTTGTAACAGGTGTGGGCTAGGAGACCTTGCTTCTCTTCTAAGAGAACTGAGTTTTCAGATGATTGTTTCCTGCCCAAGCAGCTTCTCTCAGAATTGTCAGTGCTTGGTTATAGTTTCGGATTTCAAGCATGGGACTCTGAAAGTGTGTGTGTGTGTGTGTGTGTGTGTGTGTGTGTGTGTGTGTGTGTGTGTGTGTGTGTGTGTGGTAAGGCCAGTGCTGCGGGAGTGCTTTTTATCATTTAATCAGTTTATGATGACATTTCTATGATTTTTGAAATGGCAAAAACAAGCCATGCTTGTGATAGAGGATTAGTAAGTGATTTATAAAAAGAAGCTAGGGAAAAACCCATAACACTGCTCATTAAAAGATGATTATTCACTTTACTAAACGTCCTTTTCCATGTTTTTTTCTTAAGTAACAAAGTGAAACTCTACTAAATACACTATTTTAACATGTTTTCCCCTCTCAGTTGATAAGAATTTTTGTAGCAATAGATACTTTTCTGTAATATCTTTCTAAATAGGGGAATAGCATTTCATTGTGCCACAGTTTCTTTAATCTTACTTCTCTATATTACGAACTGCATCGTTTTGATCATCCTTTCTTGTTCATCCTTAATTGCTTCCTTAGGATCAATTCCAAGAAGTGGGCTTAGTCATGTCTATGTTTAATGCTTTAAAGAAAATATCAGGTAGACTTAAAAAAATCAATATCCTGGGCTTCCCTGGTGGTGCAGTGGTTGAGAGTCCGCCTGCCGATGCAGGGGACACGGGTTTGTGCCCCGGTCCGGGAAGATCCCACTTGCCGCAGGGCGGCTGGGCCCGTGAGCCATGGCCGCTGAGTCTGCGCGTCCGGAGCCTGTGCTCCGCATTGGGAGAGGCCACAGCGGTGAGAGGCCTGCGTACCGCCAAACAAACAAACAAACAAAAATCAATATCCTAGAGCAATAACATACCCAGACTAATTTTCTTTCTAATATTTTATCTTACTCTGGCTGTAGAATTTAGTGTAACTATTATGATGGAATTTTTTAAAAACTTTTATTATAGAGAATTTCAAACATAGACAAAAATAGGCAGAATAGTAGACGAAAAATAGGCAGAATAGTACATTGGAACCCCCTGTACTCATCACACAGCTTCAACAGTCATTCAGCTCATGCCTAACCTTATTTCATATATGCTCCCATCCACTTCCCCCTTCCCATATTATTTTGAAGGAAATTCTATACATCACATCATTTCACCCATAAGTAATTCAGTGCGTATCTCTAGTATATGAAGACTTTTTTTTAGCATAACCCAATACCATTTTCATACCTAAGAAATTCACGATAATTCCTTGATATCAAATAACCAGTGTTCAGATTTTCCAGTTGTCTTATAAACGTCATATGTACTTTTTAATAGTTTGTTTGAATCAGGTTCCAAATGAGGTCCTCACACTGCATTTGTGTGATATATCTTTTTTTTTTTTTTTTTTTTTTTTTTTGTGCAGTCCGCGGGCCTCTCACTGCTGTGGCCTCTCCCATTGCGGAGCACAGGCTCCGGACGCGCAGGCTCAGCGGCCATGGCTCACGGGCCCAGCCGCTCCACGGCATGTGGGATCTTCCTGGACCGGGGCACAAACCCGCGTCCCCTGCATCGGCAGGCGGACGCTCAACCACTGCGCCACCAGGGAGGCCCTATTTATTTATTTTTGACTGTGTTGGGTCTTTGCTGCCGCACCAAGGCTTTCTCCACTTGCAGTGAGCAGGGCTACTCTTTGCTGTGATGTGTGGGCTTCTCATTGCAGTGGCTTCTCTTGTTGTGGAGCAGAGGCTCTAGGTGTGTGGGCTTCAGTAGCTGTGGCATGCAGGCTCAGTAGTTGTGGCTCGTGGGCTCTAGAGTGCAGGCTCAGTAGCTGTGGCACACGGGCTTAGTTGCTACGCAGCATGTGGGAATCTTCCCAGACTAGGGTTTAAACCCGTGTCCCTTGCATTGGCAGGCGGATTCTTAACCACTGCACCACCAGGGAAGTCCCTAGAGTCCCTGTTTTGACATCTATTTTCATTATAGGTGGTTTGAATAATAACAACTCCCTATTTGTGGGATGGGGCCATTACCAAACAGTATTGTTTTCATGCAGGTCACAGAGCCTGTAGTGCCTTTTTGAGTTAGAAAAAGGCACCCTTCAGAGCTGGGAGGACTTAGAATAAAAGGCCTCCCCCTCTGAGCCATTGCAACGCCCCAGCTAAAGGCCCATTGAAGGTGCTTTTTGTGTGAGCCCTAAGGTGCCCTTCCTGAGTGAATTTGGCCTACATCTCAGTCCCCATATGCCCTCGTGGCCAGATGGCATTTTTGCTCATAACCATAGGCAGCAGCCCTGCAGGCCACCTATACAAATTTTATTTTTAAGAAAGTTCTTAGTCCCCCAAACCAAAGAGCAACATATACAGCAGAAATAAAAAGGAAGTTAATCATGGCAAAGGAGAAATAACAATATCAGGTTTTTGTTTTTGGTTTTGTTTTTGCGGTACTTGGGCCTCTCACTGTTGTGGCCTCTCCCGTTGCGGAGCACAGGCATGTGGGATCCTCCCGGACTGGGGCGCGAACCCGTGTCCCCTGCATCGGCAGGCAGACTCTCAACCACTGCACCACTAGGGAAGCCCAGACAATATCAGGTTTTAATAACAGATCATATAGTGCATTGGTCCCTGTTTACCAAGTGTCAAACTTTCAGCTAATTTATTTAAAAAAAAAAAAAAAAAAGATTGGTGTTCTGGTGTTGCAGTTGTTTCTAAATGTCCCTTTTAACAGCTTTATTGAGCCATAATTCACATGCTATACAATTTACCCATTTAAAATGTAC